TGCTTGCTTGATTGAAAGGTTTACAGGAATGGGAATTTTTCCATGTGGCAATTACATTTTTTTTTCACTGCAGTCTGTTTACCGATTCTTTTATTTGACTGGATCAAAAAAAATGATTCTGAACAGGTCTTTTTTTATTATTTATTGTATTTAAATAGAATAATTTAAATGTATTTAAGTTACAATAAATTAATAGTAAAACAAAAACTGCCATTATGTATAAATACTTAACAAATATATTTTAATAAATATATTTTTATACCTCATTAATATTTTATTTTATTTTAAATATTAAAAATAATGATATTTATTTATTTAAAATTATTAATTTGTTTAAAAAGTATTATTTTATTTTGCTTCAAATGAATGATAATTTTCCATGTGGTAAATTTAAATTTCCACTGCCATCTGATTTTAGATTTTTTATTTACCTGGAGAGAAAACTGTTCAGGATTATTTGCTTTATTTGAAGTTCAAAAAGCCACATGCAAACAAAGATACAAATGTATTGGATAAATTCTTAATAAATATCTTAATTTTCTTCAGTCAAATGAATATGTGACTATGGTAACAGGGTTTAATTGACAGGTGGGGCCTCCCGACTAAACTCTCTCTCTATGTGTTTCTCTCTGTCAGAATGACTACAGGAAGTTGTCTATGCAGTGTAAGGACTTTGTGGTAGGTGTTCTGGATCTCTGTCGTGACACAGAGGAAGTGGAAGCCATTCTGAACGGTGATGTGGACCAGAACCCGCCCACAGAACACCAGAGACCCTGTCTGAGCCGCATCAAACTCGCCATCAAATATGAAGTTAAAAAGGTGAGAAAAAGTAAATTTGATCATTTATTTGTTTATCTCTCAATCATTGTCTGGCGTTGCATTATATGCTTTGATCATCAAACTAAGCATTTGAATATCATCTTACTAAGACATATTATTGGAGATATAGAGATGACTGATATTCATATTATTAATTATCTGCTATTTAGTTACAGTATAAAGATCTCATTGATTTACTGTACATTACATGACAATAATTTCATACTTTTTCTTATTATAAATATCAGCATGTGCACCAAATTGCATATTTTTGCTCAGTTTTTTTGTCTCTGAATAAAATTGTGTTTTTTCTCCATATTTTCACAATATTTTACTATATGAGCCATAAAAGCCTGACGTATGAAATATGATACTCAACAAAAAACACACATGCAAACTTTTTTCTTTTTGTCTAAAGGTACTAAGTTAGAATTTAGACCTATTATTTCATATGTCTGGCTTTACAAAGAGCGAACACGAAGGCTAAACAAAATATAAATGTGCACTACAATACAAACAGATCTGAAGCATATTGGCTGTAGCTTGTGTAACTATAGTAAGCGTTCAGTACTATGGTGTATATCCAATCGGGATGAAGACAGTGGGTTTGGAGACGTGAGGTGAGGCGAGGTGTTCAGTATTGGAGTCTAATCAAGTTTCTGAGAGCTTCTGTTCTTCACCTCAGCTGAACTCATGATTGGTGGACAGTGTCTCAGATGGAGAACTCGCTGTCTGCATGCTAACAGCTCCACAACTTCCTCACCTTCTGACTTCAGCGCTCACTCCAATGACTCACAACACTGACACTCATATCTATGGAAAACCATCAGTTTTCTCATGAAATCATGTTTTACACTGGCTGTTTTTCATTCACGCATGTGTGTTTCTGTCCTTCTGGAAGGTAAATATCATGAGCTGTGAGTTGGAGAACTGTAGTTGGCTTCATCTGATCTTATTGGACTAAATGTCAAACACACAGACATACACTGGAGAGAGGAAATGAAGGCGAGACAGTGGGCCAGTGGTGACACGCCTCAGTGCTGTTTTAATTTCATAAGATAAACACAGATGCAGTCGCTGACAGCCAGTGAAGTGTCCAGGGAGCGATGTTAAGATATTTATTAAGAATTTATCCAATACATTTGTATCTTTGTTTGCATGTGGCTTTTTGAACTTCAAATAAAGCAAATAATCCTGAACAGTTTTCTCTCCAGGTAAATAAAAAATCTAAAATCAGATGGCAGTGGAAATTTAAATTTACCACATGGAAAATTATCATTCATTTGAAGCAAAATAAAATAATACTTTTTAAACAAATTAATAATTTTAAATAAATAAATATCATTATTTTTAATATTTAAAATAAAATAAAATATTAATGAGGTATAAAAATATATTTATTAAAATATATTTGTTAAGTATTTATACATAATGGCAGTTTTTGTTTTACTATTAATTTATTGTAACTTAAATACATTTAAATTATTCTATTTAAATACAATAAATAATAAAAAAAGACCTGTTCAGAATCATTTTTTTTGATCCAGTCAAATAAAAGAATCGGTAAACAGACTGCAGTGAAAAAAAAATGTAATTGCCACATGGAAAAATTCCCATTCCTGTAAACCTTTCAATCAAGCATTCAATAATTTAATAAATAAAAATAACTTAATTAATGAGAAGAATATGTATATATATATATATATATATATATATATATATATATACATATTCTTCTCATTAATTAAGTTATTTTTATTTATTAAATTATTGAATGCTTGATTGAAAGGTTTACAGGAATGGGAATTTTTCCATGTGGCAATTACATTTTTTTTTCACTGCAGTCTGTTTACCGATTCTTTTATTTGACTGGATCAAAAAAAATGATTCTGAACAGGTCTTTTTTTATTATTTATTGTATTTAAATAGAATAATTTAAATGTATTTAAGTTACAATAAATTAATAGTAAAACAAAAACTGCCATTATGTATAAATACTTAACAAATATATTTTAATAAATATATTTTTATACCTCATTAATATTTTATTTTATTTTAAATATTAAAAATAATGATATTTATTTATTTAAAATTATTAATTTGTTTAAAAAGTATTATTTTATTTTGCTTCAAATGAATGATAATTTTCCATGTGGTAAATTTAAATTTCCACTGCCATCTGATTTTAGATTTTTTATTTACCTGGAGAGAAAACTGTTCAGGATTATTTGCTTTATTTGAAGTTCAAAAAGCCACATGCAAACAAAGATACAAATGTATTGGATAAATTCTTAATAAATATCTTAATTTTCTTCAGTCAAATGAATATGTGACTATGGTAACAGGGTTTAATTGACAGGTGGGGCCTCCCGACTAAACTCTCTCTCTATGTGTTTCTCTCTGTCAGAATGACTACAGGAAGTTGTCTATGCAGTGTAAGGACTTTGTGGTAGGTGTTCTGGATCTCTGTCGTGACACAGAGGAAGTGGAGGCCATTCTGAACGGTGATGTGGACCAGAACCCGCCCGCAGAACACCAGAGACCCTGTCTGAGCCGCATCAAACTCGCCATCAAATATGAAGTTAAAAAGGTGAGAAAAAGTAAATTTGATCATTTATTTGTTTATCTCTCAATCATTGTCTGGCGTTGCATTATATGCTTTGATCATCAAACTAAGCATTTGAATATCATCTTACTAAGACATATTATTGGAGATATAGAGATGACTGATATTCATATTATTAATTATCTGCTATTTAGTTACAGTATAAAGATCTCATTGATTTACTGTATATTACATGACAATAATTTCATACTTTTTCTTATTATAAATATCAGCATGTGCACCAAATTGCATATTTTTGCTCAGTTTTTTTGTCTCTGAATAAAATTGTGTTTTTTCTCCATATTTTCACAATATTTTACTATATGAGCCATAAAAGCCTGACGTATGAAATATGATACTCAACAAAAAACACACATGCAAACTTTTTTCTTTTTGTCTAAAGGTACTAAGTTAGAATTTAGACCTATTATTTCATATGTCTGGCTTTACAAAGAGCGAACACGAAGGCTAAACAAAATATAAATGTGCACTACAATACAAACAGATCTGAAGCATATTGGCTGTAGCTTGTGTAACTATAGTAAGCGTTCAGTACTATGGTGTATATCCAATCGGGATGAAGACAGTGGGTTTGGAGACGTGAGGTGAGGCGAGGTGTTCAGTATTGGAGTCTAATCAAGTTTCTGAGAGCTTCTGTTCTTCACCTCAGCTGAACTCATGATTGGTGGACAGTGTCTCAGATGGAGAACTCGCTGTCTGCATGCTAACAGCTCCACAACTTCCTCACCTTCTGACTTCAGCGCTCACTCCAATGACTCACAACACTGACACTCATATCTATGGAAAACCATCAGTTTTCTCATGAAATCATGTTTTACACTGGCTGTTTTTCATTCACGCATGTGTGTTTCTGTTCTTTTATTTATCATTTCATTCATTTATCAGACGTTTTTATCCAAAGCAACTTACAGTGTATTCAGGCCATACATTTTTTACCAGTATGTGTGTTCCCTGGGAATCAAACCCATGATCTTTTGCATTGCTAATGCAATGCTCTACCACTGAGCCACAGGAACAATATATATACAATTTTATTTTTGCACTGCAGTCTGTTTTTCTTCTGTGCAGTGAATGTTGGAGTCAGTGGATGATGTGAAGATCATGATCTGATCATGTCATCCATCACTAGTGTGGGTTTAAAGGGATCATGACCTTGTTAACCAGATAATGTGAGGGTAATTAGTCCTGTTGCCCTCAGCTTAATCCAAACCCTCCTGAGATGAGCTCTCATTACAGGCCAGGTTGATTGAATCTTAATAATTTTCAGATTGTGATTGAGATCTTAGTTTTATTGACTGAAGCACTGTGATAATAAGATCCATTAGTAAAATACAGCCTTTGAGGAGCATTGCAATCATGATTATTGCAATCATTTATGAGATGAGCACACTTGAATGCCACAATATCATAATTACCAATTTTCCTTTGAGCCTTGAGTTGAGGACGATTATATTGATTATAATTCATTATAATTGTGAATGTTGAAAATACAATTACATTTTTGTGCATTTTGTGTATTGTTGATGAAGATGAGCACTGAAACTTGTTAGCTTAGATATGTACACTGCAAAAAAAAAAAGATTTTCTTACTCAGTATTACAGTATAAATTACAGTATTACAGTATAATAAAAAATACTTATAATCAATATTAATTTACTTATGAAGCAAAATTGTTTCTGGAAAAATGATCAAAGTTAATTGAGTAAAGCAAGTTTAATTTTTCTGACCCTACTGACAGATATTTGTTTTTGGATTAAGCATTATGTCACTTAATTTTGATACATTTTTTTTTTTTTTTTTTTTTTTTTTTTTTTTTTTTTTTTTTTTTTTTTAGAAAACAAGACTTTATATCCTATCCTGTAACTTATTCTATGTCACATAATTATAGTTAACTATAACAAAAATGTTGGCTAGTTTCCAAAGCAACATTTTTCACTTTAATAATAATTAAATACTTAATAATATTTAGTAATTAAAAGTAAAACTGAAATAAAAATGAATAAAACTATATCGACATTAAAATACTTTTTTTTAATTAAAATTAAAAAAGAAAAAGAAAAAACAAAGATTCAAAATATAAATAGAATCTATAATAGTATCTCAATGGTACTAAAATAAGAAGTAAAAGTATCTGGATTTAAGAATGTTTAAATATTTTACTAAAAAATCAGTCAAGTCAAGTCACTTTTATTTGTATAGCGCTTTATACAATACTGGTTGTGTCAAAGCAGCTTTACAGTGTCAATCAGAAAAATAGTTAGTCAATAACACAAGAAGACAATAACAGAGTCATTTTTCCAGTTCATTGATGATTCAGTGATGTCATCATCCAGTTCAGCTCACTTCCAATAGTGTCTGTGCGATCAGTCAAGAAAAGATAATCAGTAAGAAAATCACAATTTTTTGTGCCATGAAGTGAGAAAGAAATTCTGAAATACAACATATCCATATTATTGCGAACAAAATCTCTTTTAATCACAGCTTCCAAATTTGTAAACATGATGATTTGATGTCAGACAAATTCTGAGAATCAATTTTCAATCTTCAATCTTTTAAAAATGAATTATGCATATGAAACCGATTCACATTTAACTTTCAAAAAATATGCAAATCAAATAGTTTCAAGGTCATCTTTTAAAAATTATGCAAATTAAAATATAAATTATGCATACAAATACAATTTGGTGCTTTCTGTAGATGGACACTAAACATCTCATTTATTCAGACATCTTGTTTATTATTTGTGACAATTCTCATTAAAAGCAATCAGAGGGGATGCTGGGACTGTTACTACGGTAACCAGGTACAAGATTTAGGTGACCCCAGAGACGTGTGTGTCACGGTGTCTCTCTCTCTCTCTCTCTCTCACACACACACACACACACACACACTGCTATAACTACCATCATTCTCTCTGTGTCAGAATTTAATGGATCACTGAAGACAGACAAGCTAAACTCTCTCTTTGTGTGTGTGTGTGTGTTTGCTGCTGGCAAATTAAGGTTGAGGATGTTTTTTTTTTTTTTTTTTTTTTTTAGAAAACAAGACTTTATATCCTATCCTGTAACTTATTCTATGTCACATAATTATAGTTAACTATAACAAAAATGTTGGCTAGTTTCCAAAGCAACATTTTTCACTTTAATAATAATTAAATACTTAATAATATTTAGTAATTAAAAGTAAAACTGAAATAAAAATGAATAAAACTATATCGACATTAAAATACTTTTTTTTAATTAAAATTAAAAAAGAAAAAGAAAAAACAAAGATTCAAAATATAAATAGAATCTATAATAGTATCTCAATGGTACTAAAATAAGAAGTAAAAGTATCTGGATTTAAGAATGTTTAAATATTTTACTAAAAAATCAGTCAAGTCAAGTCACTTTTATTTGTATAGCGCTTTATACAATACTGGTTGTGTCAAAGCAGCTTTACAGTGTCAATCAGAAAAATAGTTAGTCAATAACACAAGAAGACAATAACAGAGTCATTTTTCCAGTTCATTGATGATTCAGTGATGTCATCATCCAGTTCAGCTCACTTCCAATAGTGTCTGTGCGATCAGTCAAGAAAAGATAATCAGTAAGAAAATCACAATTTTTTGTGCCATGAAGTGAGAAAGAAATTCTGAAATACAACATATCCATATTATTGCGAACAAAATCTCTTTTAATCACAGCTTCCAAATTTGTAAACATGATGATTTGATGTCAGACAAATTCTGAGAATCAATTTTCAATCTTCAATCTTTTAAAAATGAATTATGCATATGAAACCGATTCACATTTAACTTTCAAAAAATATGCAAATCAAATAGTTTCAAGGTCATCTTTTAAAAATTATGCAAATTAAAATATAAATTATGCATACAAATACAATTTGGTGCTTTCTGTAGATGGACACTAAACATCTCATTTATTCAGACATCTTGTTTATTATTTGTGACAATTCTCATTAAAAGCAATCAGAGGGGATGCTGGGACTGTTACTACGGTAACCAGGTACAAGATTTAGGTGACCCCAGAGACGTGTGTGTCACGGTGTCTCTCTCTCTCTCTCTCTCTCACACACACACACACACACACACACTGCTATAACTACCATCATTCTCTCTGTGTCAGAATTTAATGGATCACTGAAGACAGACAAGCTAAACTCTCTCTTTGTGTGTGTGTGTGTGTTTGCTGCTGGCAAATTAAGGTTGAGGATGTTATATGGCTTGTAACTTATGAGATTGTCTGTTAGTTTACTCTGAACACACACACACACACTCTCTGTGGGCTTTAGGTCGGTCAGCTCTGGATCACACTATCAGCTCGGCTCACCTTAAATCAATGTCACGATCTGTCTGTCTGGTTCTCTCAGGCGGGCTCACGGCTTGTGTTATTTTCTCCAAAGAAACACCCTCATTTACCTGTCTAATAGAGATGCAACACCAAACAACAGGAAAACCATTGGAAATCTGCAGGAAAACACGGCAGATTTGTATACAATATATATAAATATATATATATATTCCTCACCAATTAGTCTGTCATTGATCAGACAAATATGCTTTGGTAGTGACTAACATTTCTTTAAAAATGAATTATTATTATTATTATTATTATTATTAAATGTTTTATTTAGAGGACATTATTCTGCCATTGATCAGACAAATATGTTTTGATGGCGACTTTAAAATTTATTTAAAAATGAAGAAATAAAAGAAGATTATATTTTATCATCTTCATATATTATTTATTATCAGTTCTTATACATTTAGCTTGATTAAAAATAATAATAACACTTTTTGTAATCAGTTATTGTGTATCTGCATCTAATTACAAAAACATGTTTATAGAAAAATATTTATAGTAAATCAATATTATAGCATAATTTAATTTTCAGAGAGAATCTACTCCAATGTCTATTTAACACATTTAACACAGTTGCAATGTTCTGCTGCTGTATAAATCCACAATAAGGTGTCTATTATGTTTATAAATGTGTAGATTCTGTGTTTGTGTGCTGTAATATGATTTATCGTTCTCCTCTTTTCTCCATGTGTGTCAGTTTGTGGCTCATCCGAACTGCCAGCAGCAGCTGCTGACGATCTGGTATGAGAATCTGTCGGGTTTGCGGCAGCAGTCCATCGGGGTGAAGTGTTTGACGGTTCTGGGCGTCACTGTTGGATTGCCTTTCCTCGCCATCGCCTACTGGATCATGCCCTGCAGCAAGGTGACAAACACACACATCTCTGCTTCTCTGGCTCTTCAGATGAGAAGACGACCTCTGAGTCAAGAGTGTTATTTCACACACTATCTTCTACATGTCTCCGGGCAGCTGTTTTACTGATGTGGCATTTCTGTCGTATAAGATGACGACATGTTAGTGTAGGTTTCCTCGTTTCATGTAATTTAGTTTTACATGGTCATTTTCCTTCTCTCTGACCATTACACTGTGTCTGAACCACACAATGTCTCTTTAATATCTATTTTTGGCCACAACCAGAAGCATCAGTTTATTTCTTTCATCTTTTATATTATATAAAAGATACATAAAGTAATTCAGGCAGGTCTTGACTGCATTACATGTCCATATCACTTCACCACATGATTTCAGTTATTTCAAAGGTCTTTACTTTAGCCTACAACAGCAAAAGAACCAAAACTCACAACAACACTGACCAAGAAAATAAATATAGTAAAGAACAGGATAAAAACGACAAAATTACATTGTATTATGTAAGGAAAACACCTACTCTCTTTCTCCCGCTCTCTCTCCCTTACAGACGCACACACATACAGTACTGACACATACTCGCACACATGGAAACACACACGCGCACAGAAACGTGTTGGCAGCGATGCTCTGACAATTTTTTCAGTAAAATAGTTTAGCAAGGTAAAAGCTACATGTAATTTCTCACTAGCGAGGTAAATAACGACGCTGTTGTTGGAGCAGATTAACTGACAGAAGACACACAGACTCAGACAATTTACACGCTTAATCTCTGTCTCTCTTCATAACCGCATTAGTCTGCTATCAACGGCTCAAGCCTCCGTTACTAGGTCTAAAATGACATTTTGGAATTAGCAACGGAGGCGTGGGATGAGATGCGTTAGAAATTAATCCTACACACAAGAGTGTTTTAAGTAACAAATGTCTTGAAATACATCTGAACAATATGTAAGGTGTGGTAACCGTAATATTAGCGGAATAATTGACGACAGGCTGTTGAATTATTAGAAAATAATGCGATTTTGTAATAATTCAACAGCCCGTTGCCAGTCATTCCTTTATATTATATTACATTATATTATATTATATTATAATGTTTGTTTGTTTTTAAATAAAGCTTTGTGGGGAGAAATGTCACTTATTATTGCAGTTTAGTTTCAGTAAATGCAAGAAAAGAGCTTTTTACTTCAAAATAGCAAGAAAATCCAATTTCCCTGATAAGACCCCTTAAAATTCATATAATAGGTAAAAGCTTCACCTTTTCCATAATCACACATGAATAAACACAGACACACACACTGACACTCTATTACAGACCGACTCTCCTACAAGCACAAGCACAGATACACTGTGGATGATGAGATACACACTGACTCTCAGCTTTTGTCAAGGGTTTGGGATTGAAATCTAATCAGAGCTTGTCAGACAGGAAGTGCTGTGAGTTTCTAGAGACGTGTGACACACACAAAGAGAGAGAGAGAGAGAGAGAGGAGGGGAAAGAGCATTTGATGTTCTCAGGGAAAGTGTGTATTTGCACTGGTTTGGGTGGTTTATGAGGACACAAATTTGTATAATGTCGTGGGTATGACAGGTATTACAATGTGAAGGTGGTTTATGAGGACACTTCATGTGTCCCTGTAATTCAAAAGGCTTAAAAAACATACTAAATGCTGTTTTTTTTTTTTTTTGGAAATCAGAAAAAATGCAGAGTTTTCTGTGAGGGGTAGGTTTAGGTGTAGGGTTGGGGTAGGGCGACAGAAAATACAGTTTGTACATTATTAAAAACCATTACACCTATGGAGAGTCCCCGTAAACAACATATGCAAGAAAGTGTGTGTGTGTGTGTGTGTGTGTGTGTCATTTGAGGACAACTTAAAAATGTTAAATTAATAACTTTTAGGATTAAGATTAATCCATAATAATTATAATTAGCTTTATATGAAACAATAGAAGTCCGTGGTGGTGTGTTCATTTAGATAAACGTGTGTTTGTGTTTCTTTTTTGCTCCCTCATTTGCTCCATTCCAAAACATAAAGTGAAATTGTTGAGTGACATGATACGGTCAAACAGAACATATATTGTTTAAAAACAGTAAAAAAAAAAAAAAGTTTGGGTTTAAAAGCCTGAACTAGTTAATTCAAGAAATCAGCAGCCTAATAAAGAGGTTGACTAGCACAACATATTCTATGTATTTTGAAATTACAAAAATGCTAAACTTAAATGTATTTTAAGTGCACGTATCTGAAACACTCCTCATCCTTGCATGTTAGCATCAAATTGAAATAAGTTGTGTGATTCACATGAAGAGCACTGTTTATGTGATGTTACCTATGTAGAGTGTTCTAATTCAGTCACTTATGAGGGTCCATTTCAGTTAGGATGCTCCCTTATAAGAGAGCTGCCTATGTAGACAGTAAGACAAGAGTGTGATTACGTCTTATTAAAGTGTTTAAACTCTAACTGTCTGAGAGAGAGAGAGGTGATGAAAGCTAAGCAGACAGATGAATGCCCGACTGATGATGATGATGAAGATGATGAAGGTATTGTGTGCAAGACACTTGAACTTGAGGGCAATCAAAACACTGACTGAATACAAATGATTGATTTTGGACAAAGTTTCTGATGATCTTTCTGAGAAAAGATTAACCTCCAGTAAGAGCTAATTCATCTGAGAGAAACTTCTCTGTTATTGTTGAATGTGTTTATATATGTGACCGAATCTTTAAAAGAATCAATATATATCACAGTAGGATTATTCCATACAGATTTGTGTGAGCCTCTAGCTTATAATCAGAAAATCAGCACTATGAAATTCACCTCACATTCACATCGTCTTCATGAATTTTGATGAGTCACACTTTAAAGGAATAATTCACGCTCATGTTGCACTAAATCTGAGTGACTTTCCCCTCCATCATTGTTTGTTTTTTTGTGTTTTATTATAGTGTCACAAACTTAAAGATACAAACTTTGTATTATTCATTAAAGTGCCCCTATTATGCCATTTTAAGGTTCCCTAATATTGTTTACTGTCTCCTACAATAGGTTTACATGCATGCAAGGTCAAAACATGCTTTAGTTTTCTCAAAATATGCATTTAATATCACCTCATTTTCCAACGATTCTCAAACGATTCATTTGAAGCAGTTCTAAGATTCAGTCTCTCTAAACCGCTACTTTCCATGAGCCTACTCTGCTCTGATTGGTCAGATGGCCCAGTCTGTTGTGATTGGTCTACCGCGTACAGCACGTGTTGGAAACGATACGCCCATTGCCATAGTTCCGTATTTTGAACGCTCGATAGAAAATATAAACATCTATTATTTATCATACTTACAGGTTGTGATTCAGTGGAGCAGC